CGTCGAATCGTCTTGCTCTTGTGGTAGGCCGGGGCAGGTGGGGTTGTGGGAGCATTATTAGTTAGGGGGATGGTGATGCTAGATGGCTTTGTTATGCCAGTGGCTATTGGTAATAATGTTCAAACTGATCGCCTTGTTTGACTATCTGTGCTGTGATCCTTGCGTCATTGATTCCCTTTGGGGATCTGACTTTGGTATCATCGTCTGTTGTCTGTGTGTTCCTTGCGCAAGTCACGCTATGTTCCTCTCACATTGTATATACGCCCTAACGCCACACATGCTCATATGCACTGCCTCGTCATCCAACCCCTTCCCACCCCCACAAGTCTTCCCTTCCCCCTGTCTCAAGGAACATCAATTCTGCCCGTCCCCGACATTACTAACAAGCCAATCCATGCCCTCCTGTACACCGCTCCCGTCCACCGCACTACACGCCACAATACTCCAATTCCGGTCCTTCAGTTCTCCCAGCTTCAACGCCTCGCTGATTTCCCCTGCACCCTTTGCACCCGGCTGGTCCTGCTTGTTTGCGAAGACGAGGAGCGCGGCGTCACGTAGCTCTTCTTCGTTGAGCATGGCGCGGAGTTCTTCTGAGGCCGTGGTGAGGCGCTCGATGTCGGTGGAATCAATGACGAAGATGACGGCGGCAGTGTTGGCGTAGTAACAGCGCCAGTAGGGCCGGATCGAGGTTTGCCCGCCGAGGTCCTAGGAGGTTGAGTGTTAGGGGGGTTGTAAGAGGGTTGTAAGAGGGTTGTAAGAGGGTTGTATTGGCTTTCGAAGGAGGTTTGTGGACCGAAGGGGCAAAAGAGACGTACCCAGACGTTAAAATTGAGGTTTTTGTAGGTTACGGATTCGACGTTGAAGCCTATTGTTGGTATTGTGGTGACGACCTCGCCGATCTGGAAACGGTTGTTAGTAGATTGCTTGGTGGATAGGTGCAGGATATGAGAATATATCCCCGTATAGAGAATCCTGGGACAAAGAATCTTGCTGTGACATACCTTCAATCTGTACAATAGTGTCGTCTTTCCTGCATTGTCCTACAAGGGTCATCAGCACCTTTGCCCCTGACCCCATAACCTAAGATTCGCGCTCACAAGCCCCAGGATCAGTATCCGAATTTCCTTCTTGGCCCAAAGGAGCTTTGTGAATGTTGATAAATAACCGCCCATAGTGTCTTCTATGTATGCTTCATGCGCTAGGCAAGTCCGTGGATGCGGAGTTCACCGCCGGTATTGTGTCGAGTTAGGTGGGTGGAGTTGTTTCGAGGCGTCTGTAGGCCCAACAGTCGTTTCGCGTAGACTTATATGACCACTTCGGACTCCAAAGCAGTCGTCAACAAAAAAGTAGGTTGCCTTGACGTAGAGTTGGTTGTCAATGTCTGGCCAGAAAGTTAGTCCATGTCGGATGCAAACAGCCCAAACACCGCCACTGGTCGGCTGTACGTTTACCCGAGGCTTTGGACCCTGAATTGTAACGACGGTACCATGGTCCACGGCTCGCTACTCCACCACAGGATACGCTAACGATCTTACTTTCATATTCACGTGCTTTACCATTCATGTACTGGTTCACTAATCGGGGTATTCGCTTATCTGTTACCATATGTTCCTGATCTTCTCATTGAATTCGAATGTCCTCTTGGACAATATCACAGTGCTACGAGCAAACTCATGACTCCCCAGTCATGTTAAGCCTAGATTCATCGATGAGCTTGACTGAACTTGAATCAACGGATCAATTATTGTAGTCATTCATCAAGATGGTACCAAATTCCAACTACGTTGGCACACCAGGCCACATTGCAAGTGAATACCAATCCATGCATCAGTCGCACAAGACATGGCTCTGGGCCGCTTGCCCAGGTAGTTATACACACATGGTATATTTGACTAGCCAGATAATAGTACATGATAATATTTTTCAACGTCTCATTGGACAGTGTATAGGTGGAACCTCCTCAAGGGCCCAATAAGGAGACTCGAGTGCATAGCAGGACGTACCAGCCCCTTTCTCAACCATGGTACTGTCCAAGAATATTCAAGATAGTCTTTCGCAGCCAAGATATATCCTGGCTTGAATATATCCGATTCTTCTCATATGTATAAGAGACTGCGCATCGCTTGCATCTGTTCATTTCCCCATCCTCCATATCCAAAAATTTCAAGACGAACAAGCTCAAACTCAAACTCAAGTAAGTCGACAGTCCGCTTGCCAACTATCAAACTTCGTCTAACAGCCCCCCAGAAAATTTCAATCACCATTAATGATGTCTTGCCCACTCCTTCAAAGTCTCAAGAGCCTTCCAACCCGTGCTCTCTTTACTCTCGCATCCAGTATCATCAGCTATGATGAAATAAACAAGGCCAAAGACGAAGAATCTGGCGTCATCAATGACTCAGATCTTGCCGAGCGTGCCTATTATGGCATGGGCGACAAACTACTGGCCCAAGGCGACTTCAATGAAATGACACGCTTGCACATGCAGCGTGCGCTCCAAGAGAGAGGCTGGGTCAAGAATGGCGAGGAGGTTAACATGACAGACTGGAAGCTACGACTTCGATTGTTCTCCATGACAAGGTTTACCGAGTCGCAGGCTAAAGAGCAAGCGAAGGGTGCGCAGGCGAAAGACTCGGCTTCCGAGAGCGAGTCTATAGTCAGAAGTCACTCGAACTCGAGTGAAGATACGGTCGGCTAGTTAGGACTTGGCTGTTAGGCCACGTCCAGTAGGCCGTGATTATATTATTCTTGCTGCGCATTTGCGTTCATTTAGGATTTCCACGCTTCTTTTGCTCTTTTAGTTGATAAATTTTCGTTTAGTAGTCTTCTGTTACAACAACTTATTGTTCATGGTTAAATATGTTATAATAACCCACCCTAACTTCTAATCAATGTTAACATCACATCCAACAAAGCCTACTATAGAAAAGCATTCAAGCAATCCATTAATTTCTATCATTTTTATATGAGTGGTCAATTCGTAGACTGGTAGCCTGTAGCTCGTACCGCTTTCACTCTCGCCGCGTAGTGGTGATCTGTTCCTTCCTCTTTCACTTATATTCGCTCGATATTAGTTCTTTTTGGACTAGCCAGTCGCGCAGATTGTGCACAAAAGGTCTTACCTCGCGCCTGCTTCTTCTTTTGTCCAACTCACACCTTGTGTGCACATTCTCAACTTTGGGCATACATACAACCACTCTCTACAACACAACACGACACCATTTAAAATCCAGCTCATATACAATATCATTCATCAGTACTTCAGCAATATGTCATCAATCCTGTCTAGTCTTCTCGGAGAGGCGCGCAAGGGCGCCATCAACCCCACTGCTGCGTCGAATGCTTCACCCCAGAAGCGCGCTGTGGTACCTGCCAAGAGCAAGATCACCGCATCTACATCCCGAGCTCACACTTCAGTGGCCAAGAATGTCACAAAACTCAAACAAGCTGAGCATGGAGAGAGCGTCTCATCATCGACAGCTGCTCAACGAGCCGCTATCTCCCACCCATCACACGTCCAAGCCGTAAGTGCTTTGGGATTTTGTGATACCCTGTGCTGCCGACTGACTATTCACGTTAAGCCTACATCACCACTCCGTCGCCCCAATACACTTTCTAGTGGATCCATTGTTGACCCTAGATGTTCGTTAGGTACCAAGGGTGTGCCAGACGCTACGCATAACCTACCTGTGGCTTTGATCAGGAGAGAAGGCCGCCCCAGTACAGCAGCTTACAAGAACATGTCCGTTGGGGAGCTCCGATTCAGAGCTCGACGACGTTCTCTTCAATTAATGGAAGATAGCAAGCACTACCTTATCATGGTGCTTCTCGTCTACGATGAAGAATATGACCAACTCTACACACGTATTGGTAATCCTTTGGAGTGCGAGAGTTACGCCAGGGCCGCTGTTGAACATTACAATAAGCAGAATTTGGCCAATCTGGCTGAGCTTCGTTGGGCTGCAGCTAAGCGTCAGAAAAACCCTGGAACTCCCAAGGAGGCGCATGTGTCCACCCAAAAGTCACAAGTGATTAGCATGGCATTCAAGCCCACCAAAACTTTGAGGAAGACTGTCGAGAGCGTCGAGGTCATAGGGTCTGTCAGGTTAAGGCAGGGACCAACAAACATGATCACCGAACGCAAATCTCGCCTGTCTACAGACTCAGGGTACTCAACGGGTAGTACACAACCAGCTACGGTTGAGAATTACGAGCGCAAGAAAATTCCCCTACCCGAGTACCCTGACGACGAGCCCAAGCCTTCGAAGAAGGCTAAACTGTCCATCGCAGAACAGGAAATTCTTCGAGTGGTGAAGAAGATCGGTCGGAAAGAAGATTCAGACCGGTCCACAAAGGCTAGCAAACTGCCTTATAAGGTTCCATTCAAACCAAACTCAGACATCAACAAGAATGATGTCGAGAAATTCCCTGCCAAGAAGGTGGCCAAGGGCAACAAGACAGAGAACCGGAACCACCTTCCACAGGAGGAGGAAGCGTCGCCATCTAGAGGAGTTATGCAGCCTGTCAGCAGACGCACCCGCCGCAAAACGCCTGCTGAGCCTACAAAAGCCCTCGACAAGAGGAAAGGACTGATAGAAGCTTCAAATTCTGAGTCGGAGGATGACTGGCTTCTGGATGATGGACAGGCCTGACCAAAGAAGGTCGACAGGGGCGTGAACAGATTTTTCGCTGGCATGAGTTAGACTATGGACCCGAGGTGATTGGGTATTGGAGCAGAGAGTTGCGAAATTTTTGTGTTGACGCGGATCATGTTGATCAGGAACTTGAATTTAGTTTTATCTTCTCAGAAGAGATACCCTTTACAAAAGAGATACCCTTTGCATTCAGAGCAGAAGTCGATTTTTCCTTTGCGTGTCATCTCTCAAGCATCCTGTATAGCTCTGCTGCATAATTCTAGCATTTTTTACTCTTCCATTTATTCATCCTCGCTCTTTTCATCTCACTTAATGACAAAAAGCACAACGTGACCCGACCTGACTACATTTGTTGATCGGACCCGATCCATGGGGATAAAAAGGCTGTGGATGCTTACCTCTGAGAAACGTGGTACTTTTGGAGGGGATACTATTGGAACCCATGAACGTAACTTCATCGCTAGGGATATTGAAATGGACAGAATTCCTACCTTGGAATACATACGCCAGAAGATTTTCTGCATCTCTGAAAACAATCATCGTACACATGTGAAGGGCGGCTGCTTCTGATATAACATGTAATGTTCAGCAGGGTATTAGTCGGGACTCCATCTAAAGGCTGGCTGAGCTTTGTCAAATATCTTGGCGCTGCTCTCGGTTGATGTATAGATGTACCAATTGAGGGGATGTCTACTCAGGGGACGAATGATGGCAATATAAATCAACGCTCGTTTTGGAAGTTCCCGTGATCTGTAATTCAAAGATTTCTTATGTCACCCATAATGAGTTTAGAAAAGAATATACAATTGAGCATTCTCGGGCCAAAGATTTACAAAGATGAAGAGTTGGTGTTCATAGTGAATGACAATCCAATGTGCTAGCCGTACTTTCCGTCCAATGATAAAAAGACTCGAGCCAGAAACGAAACGTCATCTTACCCGCTGACCCCAAAGCAGATCATCTCTTTTCGCAACTGACATGCACTGAGCAAAATCCAACATCGCTCGCTTAGGAGCACTTGGTAACAGACGGAACATTCGTACAGTTCCCGTACACCTTACTGCCACCAGTAATCACAACATTGTCCCATTTCCAGCCAGTGCAAGATGTCTCACTCCCACACGTAACCACGACATTAAACCCGTTGGCCGCAACCGCACCCTCACCCTTAACATCGCTCAGCACCAGGCCCGTGATCGGAATACCGGTATCCGGCGTGCCATGGAGATCGCCGCCATCGTAGTTCTGCTCAACCAGCACGCCGTACTTTGAGATGGAGGACAGCGTGGTCTTGCTGTAGACGACGTTGTTGATTTTGCCCGTTGCACCAACTTTGGCTTTGACGCGGATTCCGTTTGTGGATTTTGTGACGACGTTGTTGTTGAAGGTGACAGTGTCGACTGTGTTGTCTGCGCGGCCGCCGACGGAGCCAATGGAGAGGCCGTGGCCGCCAGAGCAGAGGCCGTTTTGGAAGGTGATGTTCTGGTGGTGTGAATGTTAGAAAGGTTTCTATGTTTGCAAGGTGCTGGAGAGGGGGAAGACGTACTGTTCCAGAGTTTACGGCCACGCAGTCGTCCTGGTTGTGCACCTTTGCACCATCAATCATGATGTTCTTGCTGGTCCCAATGTCGAACGCGTCAGTGTTGTGCCCGAGTTCGTTGGCATCGCCCTCGGAATCGTCAATCGTCATGCCGGTGATGGTGAGGCCATCGCAACTTGCAATGCTGACGGCTTGAACAGGGGTGTTCTTGATGTTCACGTCGGTAATGGTGGAGTCAGTGAGACTGTGTGCGGCAAAGAACTTTGGCTTGTCTTTGCCTCCATTGCCACCTTTTCCATCCCACCAACGTGCTCCATCGGGATTCAGAAGACTGCCAGAAGCCCCTTTGACTGTGATCTTGTTGCCACCGATGCTAAGAAGGGGGCCGGCCCACTCTTTGTAGCCCCAAGTAGTTGTACCTTGGAAGATGACAGTCGTGCCATCAGCCAAACTGGAAAGGTCTAGAGTGGTACCGGCTGGTACGGCAAGGTTGTCGAGGACCATGGTGGTGCATGATTTGCTAGCCTTAGAGGCTTCAGCAGCACCATTAGCCCCAGTGAACGTACAGCTATCAGCACGTTTAGCTGTGACTGGAGCATTGTGTGCTCCGTCAATCTCCGGGGCGGGAGCTGCAACAGAAGACGCCACCAGCGCCGTGGCGACAAAACCAAGAGTTAAGGCAACCATTGTGAGGACCGCTTGTTATGTAGAAAGAAGTGCTTGATAGAATGAGAGTGCTGCTTGGCTGCTTGGCTTGAAGCTTGGTATACGCGGATATATATACATTTTGGAGAAGGTGTGTGGTCGTTCATTGCTCAACGCAGCCATCATTTCCTGATGTCACAGTTTTTCCACAACGGAAATGAAGGGGCATTTCGGATTCCTCCAATAATTAGATTCTAGGCGTGCATTCAGGCAGTGTAATTGGTATTGATGGCATGACTTGATGCTTCGTATGTGGATATTCAAGTCAATACAAGACGTCGTCTGCATCAATGCCACAGGGATTAAGTTTATTCATTCCACCAATTGTAGCATGTCTTTCGAGCATGGAAACAATGACCAGTGTGCGGGGAGAGTCTGGGGAATCAGTTGCGTGCCGGATACATGTCGCTGGGCTACCGGTAAGGAAACGATCAGCACTGCGGGTCTGGAATTCTCCGCGGTGCTCACCAATCCCTGAGCCCTGGCGTGAAAATGGTCGCATATCCCATCCCGTGTTTCAAAACAAGTCGTCTGCTCTCCTATTTCAAATTGCGCAAGACATCGAATGATGCAAGGTTCTAGCCTTTTTAGGATCTCTTGGACTATAGCTTAGGGTTATGTAATATTAAGTATTTGTACACATACATTCCTCCTATACTCTGCACAGTCGTCCTTGTTGTGTTGGTAGACCGCGCGTTCCCTCAACGTTCCAATATTCACTACCCACAGCCGTGACGGCATAGAAAAGTCCCCAGGGGTCTCGTTCCTTCTTGATCTCGAGCAGTCTATTGTATCCACTACCATACATACTCTCTTGGAAGTTTGGCTCCTCAACATCGGCCTCATTCATATATGCACCGCTGCCTGGGGTAACATCCCTCCATTTCTGCAGATACTTATCCAGGCGTGCATGGGATGTCTTCCATTGCTCGTCAGTAAGCTGCGGGCCGTACTGACTGGTGTCGAAACCTGTCATGTGCATGACGGCATTGCGTAGATGTGGCGATACCGCGGAGCTCGTGCCTGGGTAACCAGCCGTCTCGTACGTCGGCGCGTAGTCGACGGAATGGAACCCATAGCCACCTTCTTCCACAAATAATCGGATCGATGCCATGGTTTGGACGAATTCTTCTGTATTCGGGCCTTCGAGGTTGAAACGCGGGACGAGTCGCGAGCCGAAACGCATGCTGCTAGTCCCCCCCGTAGGACCTCCAGGTATTGTCCCGAAGTCTGCGTAAGTCTTCCAAAACAATGGCTCAGGATTTTTCACAGGAATACCAACATCATTGAGATCCTTGATCAGTGGCGCTATGAGCGATATCATTTCCTCAACGGGCACGCCTGGCTTCGTGATCCTGCTGGTAAATGTAAATGTACGTTCGAGGTGATTGGGACTAGGCGCTTGAGTCGAGATTGTATTCCACATGATACCTTTGGCGTCGTTTATTCGAAGATTGTGAGAGAAATAGACACTTATGCCCTTCCAGAATGTCTCATTGGAAACGCTGATCGTGGTAATACCCGAACTTGGCTCAGTCTGGAATCCAAAATCGCTCCTTGCAACGGTCGTGGGTGGATATGCTTTCACGATAGCGGATGTCACGATACCGAAATTCCCTGCGTAGCCTTCAGTAGCAATCTGGCTAGATGCACAGGATGCTTACCTGGTCCGCCACCCCGTATGGCATAGAACAAATCAGTGTTTTGCTCGGGATCCGCACGCACGAACCTTCCTTCTGCGGTGACAACTTCGAGGGCCAGAACTTGGTCGGCCATGAGCCCATATCTTGACGTCACGTAGGAGAACCCTCCACCCTGCATGAATCCACCATAAGCTCCTACCGTTGGAGACCCTGGGGCCAGAAGGGTGACATTGGCTTCGCCCATATTACGATAAACTTCATGTTGCTCCAAAGCAACTCCTACCCGGGCTGCTTGGCCTTCGTACTCAGCAATCTGTATTGTGGGCAGGTATTCGAAGGCTTTGAGCCGATGCACCCATACTTGAAGTGCGCCCCCGCCAGTGTTGCGTCCAATCCAGTCATGGCCAGTGTTTCTATGATAATCAGGACAATGCTGAATTCCACGCTCATGCAAACCCACTTGATTGTCAAACGAATATTGTTATTCCTTGCAAAGTTTACAGCAAGCTGTATATCTCGGACCGTTGACACGTTGACTACATATGCAGGAAACGATATGAGCTTGCATTCGGAGAGTGGTGGGCTGGCATTGGCACTTGGCACAGGACATGGATTGTCGAGTTGCCACTGCCCAAAAGGTATCAAAGGATCCTCTTTACTGCATCAAGGTGTTAGTGAGCGGGAGAATCTTCGGATGGAGGAGACTTACGCCCACAGAGCATCGCCTTGCCTACGTCTTACAATGGCACACTTTGCTGGATCCCGGTATTGCCCGCTGTAACAAACTGCGGCTGGAGGTATGCCCTGAAGCAAAGCACCCCCGAGACTCGCATTGAAGGCGTCCCATCGAGCAACTGAAGGCCAGCCTTCGTACCCAGGATAATTCTTACATTTCGGTAGGTCGCCATCAGGTGGTTGGCCAAATGCAATGTCCCGATTGCTCCCGATGTCGGCTTCTTGAAGCTGAGTGCTTTCGTAGGGGAAGTTGTAGCCGAACACGACTTGTGAGAAGAGTACACTGTATAGTGCCACCGAAAACATATCGAAGGAATGCAATAGAGGACTCTAGACAAGCATGATTCAGGAATTGATGATATAGCCCCCTTTGTAATCCTTTATGCCCTGGACATCTTCATTGACGCCCCACTACACCAAGGTTGAATGAGAAAAATGGGAAAGAAGCATTATTGCCCCACTTGATTCTTTGACATTGAGTCAATACCGGTAAGGGCGTAGTTGTGTCGTCTGACATGCATCTTGACAAGCTGCGTAGCCCTGAGAATCCGCTGCTGAAGAGATGTACGCGAAAAGAGAGGGTGGTAGTGTGAGATGTGATGAACCAATGAATGTGTGTATAGTTCAGTTTACCAAATGCGAGTCCGACAAGGATTGAGTAGGAATTACAAGTCATTGGTGTGCCAGGAGCCCGACGGTATGGAAAGCGGTCGAGCACCTTGTCACGCCGCGACCACGACTACCTGGTCAAGAAAGATAGTAGGCGCATCTACAAGAGGCTTGATACGATATACAATGATATTATTGACATGCACAGGACAGTGTGGCCGTCTGACTGAGGCCAGTCTTGCAATATACGTGACCGCTTGGTATGAGGTAGTCCAAGACAGCCAATACTGGATAAAGTGGATGTGGCTGACGATTTAGCTTATCTTTTACGCACAGAGCGCCATTGTATCACACAAAAGAAGATGTTTAGGGCTCTGGATTGCAAATCTTCTTGGACGTGTGCAGGAAAAGAAGGTATGTGCTGGGTCCGTGTGGGTTGGATTAAGCCACAGCTGACAGAAAGCTCCTGTTCCGGCACCATCCCTGCTCATGCTAGCTCCGGCTACTGAGCTCCTCACACTGACAACGCTGTAAGCCTGTCTGCAATGACAGAGAAAATCACGCTTTACGAGTAGCGGCTTTGCCCTCATGTTCCGGTTTAAAACGACCACCTGGACGAGTGCCCCCCACCTTGGATCTCAGCATCTGGGACGCTAGCCGTCTTCAGTTGTCATAGTGACGACCCATGAAAGTCTTCGTAATCGTGCAAGTCTCATATGTATATCGATATAGATAAAGGGATTTGACTATTAACATAAATGTTGACGTTCTGTCTACAAGTCAGGCCATCTATTTGTCAGCCACATTTTCAACTTCGCTAGCTCACCTCCCCCTTTCTAAACTTTTCCTCCTATCCAACAGCAGGGTGTAATCTCCACAACAACTAGTTCACACAACACACTATCAAAAGAGCATAGATACAACTTCCTAATTAACCCTAAAAGAATATTAACAACGTAACTACCAGTATCTATCTATATCCCTACAACACCCAAACGACCCCAGTCCCCGTCACCACACACTCAGTCACACACCCTCTGCACTACCATCCCCTTCACCATCCCATCGCCACTGAAAAAATACAAAAAGATCGAACTCACCCCGCCCGCCATTTGCTGACCCAGACCCGATTCGATCTGGGCTGCCCACCCGTCATGCCAACCCAAATCTTCTACGCTGGTTAGCAAAGGCAGGGGATTGTAAACTCACCAAGTTGTCGACGGGTGGCCCACCCAGGCTAAGACAAGGTTTTTTCGATGAGGGATTGGGAAGTTTGGGGTATTTATGCGTGGGTTGGGAGGTTGTGAGGTTGGAGTGTGGGTTGCGTTTGCGGGTGCGGGTGCGTTTGCGCTGGGTGTGCTGAGTGCGGTGCTGGGTGGTGTTATGGAGGATTGTGAGGTAGAAGAAGTGTTGGTATCGAGAGAGATTGGGAGAACTAACAAGTATTGCCATGGGGTACATTGAGAGTCCAAATGGACGTTGGATATGGATGACATGAATAGCTCGAACAAGTGGTAGCCATGCGGAACATTAAGAGTCAAATCAGGTGTAACAGGAAACCGCAAATACAAAGAAAGTATGAATCCATACTGCATGACCTACCCTCACTGTGGATATCATACATACAACACACACGAGCCGCACCCCATATCTCCCCGCCGTCTCGTCTAGGGTCACGGTCAAGTGTACAAATCCACCCAACGCCAGCGCATTAATATGCTATTAGCCCGGCAGCAGCAGCAGCTAAACCTTCAACCACAGATTCAACACACCCTTTGCATACTCCACAATCTCATCACCGCCCAACTTACTTTCACCATACAAGCGATCGACAAAAGAAATCGGGACCTCTGCCACCGTACAGCCCATCGCCTTGGCCCTGACCATCATCTCCATCTGAAATGTATACCCCTTGCTCTCCGTCGAGCGAATCACCTTCTGCAATACCTCCTTCTTGTACAACCTAAAGCTGCCCGTCAAATCGCTCACCCCGGGCCGCAACACGGTATCCGCAAACAGATTTGCGCCGCGACTGACAAACTTGCGCTTAAGGTCCCAGCCAAAGACGCCGCCATCGCCGGCATACCGCGTGCCGGTCACAATGTCGTAGTTGTTCGTCTTCTGCAGCGTAATCATCGGCGCGATGAATTTCGGGTGGTGGCTGAAGTCGGCATCCATGATGATGACGAAGTTGCCGGTTGCGAATTGCAGGCCGTGCACGTAGGCGGTGCCGAGTCCGAGTTTGCCTGCGCGCGCCCGGATTTGGATGCGTTGCGGCGTGTATACTTTTTGGAGTTGGGCGGCGACTTCTTGGGTGCCATCGGGGGAGCCGTCGTCGATGATGATGAGTTCCCAGTCGAGGTTGCTGGTGGGAGAGGGATAAAGAAGACGAATCCAGGTGAGGCCCTGCTTGTTTA